GCCTGCCTCAGCCTCAGCCTGCCTCGGCCGCAGCATCAGCCTGCCTCAGCATTCAAAATGTAGCCCAGGAATGGAGTTCTGGGAACTAGAAGAACACGAAGTGGCCTACAGTTGGCTCCGGGCATTCAAAATCATGCCCAGGAATGGAGTTCTGGGAACTGAAGAGCACGAAGTGGCCTACAGTTGGCTCCGGGCATCCAAAATGTGGCCCGGGAATGGAGTTCTGGGAAATCGAAGAGCACGAAGTGGCCTACAGTTGGCTCCGGGCATCCAAAATGTGGCCCGGGAATGGAGTTCTGGGAAGTCGAAGAGCACGAAGTGGCCTACAGTTGGCTCCGGGCATCCAAAATGTGGCCCGGGAATGGAGTTCTGGGAGCACCAAGAGCGATTTTGCGAGGATGTCCCAAGCGATTTGGGCTTCGGCGGCAGCCGTTCCGGGTCCCGCCCAGACCCCCCTGAGGAGTCATGATGCTCTCTTTTGAGACCACTAGAAACCTATCAGCAAGAGCTGTTAGGTAATGTGCAGTCTGTGCACGTGTGTGTGTGTACGTGTGTGTGTGTGTGGCTGTTTGTGTGTCGTTTCCCCCCTTGGCCTCATGGTTGGCCCAAGTCCCCTGTGCTGTCTTTGTTGCCTTTCGTGGTTGGCCGCCGTTGTCTCCTCCCCGCTGCGTCTCGCTTGCTGCTTCGGCTTGGCACTGTCGCGCAAACTTCGTCTTTCCCCAGTTCTCCTTTTCCCCCTCTCCCCCCCAATCTTTCCCCTAACGACTGCTCCTCCGTGAGTGTCGCTGTCGATCCCTTATGGGTGGATCTAGATTTTGCTCGCTGCGCACGCCGGGCCAATACGTGCGCTCGCTTGGCCTGCTCTGCGCCGCGCCGCCGCGCGCGTGGCCGCGACGCCTCAAAAGTGCGCGTGCGCGTGTGGCTGCGTGCGTGCGCGTGTGGATGTGTGTGCGTGCGCGTGCGTTATGAAGGTTTGGGCTCGAGGCGCGCTCCTTTCACTTGGCTGAGTGGGGCGGGTGGCACGCCGAGTCGAATACCCACCGCCTGATTGCGCCACCGCCCGCTCGGGGGAGGGGGGAAGGGAAGGAGGAGGGAGGACGGAGGATATGATGGAGCAGAGAGTACTCAGGGAGGGGGGTGAAGGGAGGGAAGGAGTGCGGAGGAGGGAGGGGGACGAAGAGAGGGAAAGAGGGACTAAGAAAGGATTACGGAATTACAGCATTGCGACTGTGCCGGTCACGGATGAGGATGCGGAGCTCGTACGACATCGAAGTGGCGAGCAAGTGTAGACATTGAACACAACAGTGTGCAGAAACTGACTGCCAAATGCACTGAACATTGAACACTTCTTGAATAACACGCACAGCTGCAGGCGAGACAGAACGTTCATGGGAATACAAGCCTGCAGTGAACCACTGTGGTGCTGCCAGCTGCGATCGAACCGCTGGCCAACTCACTTGTGCGTGAGACGGCCTGGGCTTGGGCCAAGACTGGGGTGGCGCTCTAGCTCACGCACAGCAGCCACTTCTGCCACCACAGGCCCCCAGAAATGAAAAGCTCTTGAGCAACGCCGCACAATTACAGGCGAGACACAGCTGACGATGGGATACAAACCTGCAGCATGTCACTGCGATGCTTGCCGCCACGGACAATACACTGGCCGAAGCATTTGTGCGAGAAACAGTTTGAACATCACTTTGAGCCAACCTTAGGGTGGTGCCCCAACTCACGCAGAGCAGCCACTTCCGCTACCACAGGCGGGGGAAGGCGAGGTCGGAGAGAGGATGCACGGGCCGGCGAACGTATCACGACATCGGATGCTCGGACGCTGCCAGGGGCTATCCTGGCCCAGAAAAGCCTCCCAGCTTCTCGCGAAACGTTGGAGCCTCCCGAGGCCCCTCTGGGCATCACCCCGCAGGGGCTGTCCCAGAGGCCACTTCACAGGGGAGACAGAGGTGGGAAAGGGCCAGAGGGTCAGAGGAAGATCGCCCAGACGGCCCCTGGAGGCGGGGAACGTCCGCCTCAAGCCGCACTCGCTCCCTCAAAAAGCCACCTCTTGGCCTTGGTCTGAACACCATGGGCCGCACCCTCGAGCCTCGGCAACACAAGAAAAGCAGGGGTCGCCGTGGGCCAGCGTCACCTCTGGCAACACCCGAGGTTGGGGTGCCGCGCGCTGGGCCCCACGACTTCTGCCACCCCTCGACTCGCGCTGGAGCTTCCACGACTTGTGCCGGGTCTATCTGGATATCCCCGGATTTGCCTCGGCTCATCCGGGATCCCGCCCTCTTCGCTGCTTGGATGTACCTCGATTTCTCTGGCTTGGTCTCCGCACGTCGCTCACCAACGGGGCTGCGGCGCCCCAAAGCCACCACTTCAAGTTCTCCTCCTCCTCCTCCTCCTCCTCCTCCTCCTCCTCCACCGGTTAACTCCTCCTTTCTCCTCCATCCTCGCTTCCCTCCTCTGAACGCTCTGGCTGCTCAACCCACAACCTGTTTAAAGGAAGCTGGGATGCCGGCGACACGCGATCTAGACTGGCGCGCGATCTAGACCAGCACGCCGGCAGCTCCTGACCGTCCAGGCTGGCCACCCACACTCACACCCCGCCCCTCGTCAGTCGAGGATCGCGTGCCCCCCGTCCGCAGCGTCATTCATAAAAGAACAAAAACCACATAAACATGATTTCTCAGAAATCCGCCCCGATCTCTTGGATTTCGAAGCGCCGCGAGGGGGCCCCAACACCCATCCAAGAAATCCGCGCGGAGCTCCCAGAAATTACATTTCTGCCTTTCCTGTTCTTCGAGTTTAGTATGTCTGCAAGCGGAACTGCCAGACCATGGCGCTGGCGGTGACGTGAGCGTTGAGGGATCGCGAGGCGCCGTCGAGGGGCAACTCGACGAAGTCGTGGATGAGTTCCGGGCGGCGCAAGAGCCACGCTGGGCATCCGAGCTGCTCGTTCCCGACAATGAGGACGGTGTCTCGGTGGAAGGAGTAATCCTGGGCGGGGACCGAAGTGTCGGTCTGCTCCAACGCCACGATGCGGTACCTCGAGGAACCCTGAAATCTGCGCGTTGCAATTTTTGCACACTGGATGGCTTCGCCCGACAGAGGGTCCCGGGGCCGGCGCAGATCGATCCAGGACACATGACGCAGAAAGGTGGGGTCTATAGGGTTCCAGTTGTGTTTTTTCGCGACGACGTTGCCTTGTTTCGCAGCGCCAGATCCGATCGAAGAGACAACGGCGCGATCGCAGACTTTCGGTGGTCCCCGCGGATTGCTTGAATCGGCCCCATGCCCACGGTAAAAAGGCCCAGGGACACACAAATAGATACGAGTAGGTATCGTCGATGAACCTTGATGTCGGCGCGCGCGGTAACAAGGGGAAGAAGGATGTGAAGGCGATTCCCCTTCTGAGGATGGCGGTGCCGGGGGCCCTGTGCGCCGGGTACCTGCCACTCCCGGGAACGCGATGCCCCCCTCTCTGAGATGGGAGCGAGTGGTCAGTACAGGGGGCCACATGCGAGCCCTACCCCTACCCCCCACGATTTCTGAGGGGGAGGGTGGGGTTCACTTCGCGACTCGAAGTCCGACCCTGAGAAGCACGTCGGTACTGCACAATCGCGAAATGGTAACACACAATCGCGACATGGTAAAATGGTAAACACATAACACACACAAGCGACGTGCACAGTCGCGAAGTGGTAAACGCACAACAGCTGAGCGCTTGTGCGCCATGGGCTCGCCGCCGCCGGGGCCCGCAGATTCGGCGCGCGAGGCCGATCGAGTGCTGAATCCACGGGGGCAGCGCCGCAGAAGCGCGGGCGACGCGCCTGGGGGCCCCCAACCAAGTGGGTGGCGCGCGGGAGGGGGAGCAGAAGGCACGGATTCGGCACGGAATCGGCCTTGGCGTGCCGAATCCGTAAGGCGCGGGAGACGCACATTCGGCGCGCAATGGCCAATTCTATGCCGAATCTGCGTCTCCCGCGCCCCCTCCTGCGCCCCCCCCCGCTGGTTGCGGGCCCCGGGGCGCGGGTGGCGCAGATTCGGCGCGCAATGGCCGATTCCGTGCCGAATCTGCGTCTCCCGCGCCCCCCTCGCTCTCCCCCCTGTCGGCGAGCTAGAATTCTCAGGTGCGATCAGAGGTCGTGCCTCTTCTTGTCAGTCGGGTGTGTAGTTCAGTCTGACAATCGGACATCGGGAGCGGCCAAGAGGGGGGTGTCCAAGAGGGGGGTGTGCAAATCATGACCGGCGGCATGTGCGCGGCCCAGCGGGGGGGCCAGGGGCGTAATGAAATAAGAAGAGGCGCCATGAGATCTGGGGAAATATCATGGCCCGCGCCATGAAATCCACCCCCCCCTAGTCATCACCCCCCTCTTTTCCGCCCCCGAGGACGGAGAGCGGCGCCCGTATTCGCACCGGGGGCGCACGGAGACACATCCCTTTATCTCCGCTCCGGTAGCGGCGCCGCCTCTCGGGGCGGCGCGCGCGGGCCCCGCCAGGCCCCGCCGGCGATGGGCATCGCGAAGCTGAAGTACAACCAGCAGAGCAGGAACAGTGAGTTTGAAGGGGCCCCAGGACACACAAATAAATACACACAAATAAACATATTCCCCATATTTTCGCATATTTTCTAGGTTTTTGTCTTCCCCCCCACTTCCCATATTTTCCCATATTTTCTAGGGAATCGACGATTGTTCCTGACCATCTACCTCTCGGAGGTGGGCAGCACCAACAGCCTGGTGCCACAGCACTTGGAGCTCCACAGCTACACCTTCCCCACGGCGACGGCATCGCAGAGGAGCTCGAGTGCTGCTCGGACGCGGCCCGGCGACACTATACCCGGTAACGTATACGGACATCCACTCTCATCTCGACGACGAGATCGACATCATACCTGGTAAGGTATACGGGCATCCACTATCACATCAGTGACGAGATCGGCATCACAAGTGGTAGATTATACGGGCAGTCGCTCTCATTTCGGTGACGAGATCGACAGCATCATACCTGGTAAAGTATACGGACATCTACTCACATCTCAGTGACGTGATCGACAACATCATACCTGGTAAAATATACAGACACCCACTCACTTCGTGAATATCAGTGACGAGATCGACATTCGTTAGAATGGTTTGAATTTTCACTGGTGGACAATTGCCCTTGGAAGATAACACACATCAAACACCTCCCGGCTGGAAGCCGGGTGTGGCAAAATACAGTGTCAAGAAATACCTTCAGAAGCTGAGCCATTGGTGGAGAACCAAGAGTGTTGAAGATGAAAGTGTGGCAACGTTGTTAGTTCTACAACGCCTTCAGGGTGGTGCTCTCAAGCAGGCGATGCGATTCAAAGTAATGCGTGACGGAGTTGGGTATGTTGGAGAGAACGGCTTCGCCCTGACCCGAACCACCCAAGACGCAGCTCTAGGTGTCCAAGCTCATCCCTCAGGACTATCTTTGTTCACGAGATGGTTGACGTCAGAGTACGGTCTTCATGATGGCCGATTCTATGCCGAATCTGCGTCTCCCGCGCCCCCTCCTGCGCCCCCCCCCGCTGGTTGCGGGCCCCGGGGCGCGGGTGGCGCAGATTCGGCGCGCAATGGCCGATTCCGTGCCGAATCTGCGTCTCCCGCGCCCCCCTCGCTCTCCCCCCTGTCGGCGAGCTAGAATTCTCAGGTGCGATCAGAGGTCGTGCCTCTTCTTGTCAGTCGGGTGTGTAGTTAAGTCTGACAATCGGACATCGGGAGCGGCCAAGAGGGGGGTGTCCAAGAGGGGGGTGTGCAAATCATGACCGGCGGCATGTGCGCGGCCCAGCGGGGGGGCCAGGGGCGTAATGAAATAAGAAGAGGCGCCATGAGATCTGGGGAAATATCATGGCCCGCGCAATGAAATCCACCCCCCCCTAGTCATCACCCCCCTCTTTTCCGCCCCCGAGGACAGAGAGCGGCGCCCGTATTCGCACCGGGGGCGCACGGAGACACATCCCTTCATCTCCGCTCCGGTAGCGGCGCCGCCTCTCGGGGCGGCGCGCGCGGGCCCCGCCAGGCCCCGCCGGCGATGGGCATCGCGAAGCTGAAGTACAACCAGCAGAGCAGGGACAGTGAGTTTGAAGGGGCCCCAGGACACACAAATAAATACACACAAATAAACATGTTCCCCATATTTTCGCATATTTTCTAGGTTTTTGTCTTCCCCCCCACTTCCCATATTTTCCCATATTTTCTAGGGAATCGACGATTAATTGTGTCTGTGTGTTTCTTCCCCTCCTGAGAGTTCCTGACCATTTACCTCTCGTAGGTGGGCAGCACCAACAGCCTGGTGCCACGGAACTTGGAGCTCCACGGCTACACCTTCCCCACAGCGACGGCATCGCAGAGGAGCTCGAGTGCTGCTCGGACGCGGCCCGGCGACACTATACCCGGTAACGTATACGGACATCCACTCTCATCTCGACGACGAGATCGACATCATACCTGGTAAAGTATACGGACATCCACTATCACATCAGTGACGAGATCGGCATCACAAGTGGTAGATTATACGGGCAGTCGCTCTCATTTCGGTGACGAGATCGACAGCATCATACCTGGTAAAGTATACGGACATCTACTCACATCTCAGTGACGTGATCGACAACATCATACCTGGTAAAATATACAGACACCCACTCACTTCGTGAATATCAGTGACGAGATCGACATTCGTTAGAATGGTTTGAATTTTCACTGGTGGACAATTGCCCTTGGAAGATAACACACATCAGACACCTCCCGGCTGGAAGCCGGGTGTGGCAAAATACAGTGTCAAGAAATACCTTCAGAAGCTGAGCCATTGGTGGAGAACCAAGAGTGTTGAAGATGAAAGTGTGGCAGCGTTGTTAGTTCTACAACGCCTTCAGGGTGGTGCTCTCAAGCAGGCGATGCGATTCAAAGTAATGCGTGACGGAGTTGGGTATGTTGGAGAGAACGGCTTCGCCCTGACCCGAACCACCCAAGACGCAGCTCTAGGTGTCCAAGCTCATCCCTCAGGACTATCTTTGTTCACGAGATGGTTGACGTCAGAGTACGGTCTTCATGATGGCCGATTCTATGCCGAATCTGCGTCTCCCGCGCCCCCTCCTGCGCCCCCCCCCGCTGGTTGCGGGCCCCGGGGCGCGGGTGGCGCAGATTCGGCGCGCAATGGCCGATTCCGTGCCGAATCTGCGTCTCCCGCGCCCCCCTCGCTCTCCCCCCTGTCGGCGAGCTAGAATTCTCAGGTGCGATCAGAGGTCGTGCCTCTTCTTGTCAGTCGGGTGTGTAGTTAAGTCTGACAATCGGACATCGGGAGCGGCCAAGAGGGGGGTGTCCAAGAGGGGGGTGTGCAAATCATGACCGGCGGCATGTGCGCGGCCCAGCGGGGGGGCCAGGGGCGTAATGAAATAAGAAGAGGCGCCATGAGATCTGGGGAAATCTCATGGCCCGCGCCATGAAATCCACCCCCCCCTAGTCATCACCCCCCTCTTTTCCGCCCCCGAGGACAGAGAGCGGCGCCCGTATTCGCACCGGGGGCGCACGGAGACACATCCCTTTATCTCCGCTCCGGTAGCGGCGCCGCCTCTCGGGGCGGCGCGCGCGGGCCCCGCCAGGCCCCGCCGGCGATGGGCATCGCGAAGCTGAAGTACAACCAGCAGAGCAGGGACAGTGAGTTTGAAGGGGCCCCAGGACACACAAATAAATACACACAAATAAACATATTCCCCATATTTTCGCATATTTTCTAGGTTTTTGTCTTCCCCCCCACTTCCCATATTTTCCCATATTTTCTAGGGAATCGACGATTAATTGTGTCTGTGTGTTTCTTCCCCTCCTGAGAGTTCCTGACCATTTACCTCTCGTAGGTGGGCAGCACCAACAGCCTGGTGCCACGGAACTTGGAGCTCTACGGCTACACCTTCCCCACAGCGACGGCATCGCAGAGGAGCTCGAGTGCTGCTCGGACGCGGCCCGGCGACATTATACCCGGTGAAGTATACGGACATGCACTCTCATCTCGACGACGAGATCGACA